GGCCGCGGTGGATTGATCATAAAGACTAACACTGAACTTTTTATGGGACTATCAATATTATGGTGTAAAAAAGGAGATCACACTCCGCCTGCTGACGAATTTCAGAAGTCTTGTGAGCCTGAGAGTTTAGGTAGCGCTCCTGGGGATAACTTCGTGTGTTTATTATGTGTGATTGAAACAAGTTATTCATTAAGCGAGCAGCTGACCGCCGATCAATAAATTTGAATGTTTCACGAGTGAAAAAATGTTAGAGAGCAAGGTAGAGCTTGATAAGTAGGGTGAGTTTTGCTCGACTAAACTTAATGCGGCTGGCTGAGTCATAGCAGTCATAGTGAATGAAGTAGGGATAGTTTAGTGAGTACCATTGTTAATTAGGCTATGAAAATGTGAGGGCAATAAAAGCGAACCTAAATCTTTTTCCTACCATTCTAGATGACTGTAGAGTAAATACAGATTAATATTGAACCCGGTGCTAGATGCCATTCTGGCTCTCCTCGTCAGCCCGTCGTTTCAGAGTGTGAGGTACAAAGGTTCGGAAGATGCGCCTCGTAACAGTCAATGACTCAGTGACAACCACAACTACTCAACAAGCTGGCATGTTACTAGTCTACTCATGTGTAGCCAGGCCAGGGATATTCCTATCCGAAAATTTAGTGACCACTGAGAAGCCAAGAGAGCAACAAAATGTTTAGGACGTTGATATTTCTATCGCAAATGTGTGTTACATGCATGTGTAGAAAGCATGGGCCGGAGACTTGAGCAATCCATAGTATGTACAAACGTCAGTGTGGATGAAATTTGCCTTTGCTGAACTATCCTGGAGTCCAATAGCAGTAGGAAATGAGCGAAGTTCTTACCTGTAAGTCATCGGATGAAGGGCTTTTTAACGACGATCTGCTCTTCTATGCTCATACCTCAAACAATTTTAGTATCGACCCATGTGAAATTGTTGCGGCACAGTTTATGAGCATCTTTAGCTTCTGCTTGAACATATAGACTTTTCTAGAGATAATCCAGTCATGCTCTAAGAGAAATGATTTTATTCGCCAGTTCTGAGTATCACATTAATCTTTGTTACACGTCTTCTATGTGCTCCATATTTATTATAGAATGAAGGACTAGTCAGGTCTCCACTAGTCCCGTCAGAATTGTAGTGAGCCCATTTTCCACCTAATTTTTAGCACCGGTTCATGGGACTAAGTTCTACCTTTTTCAGAGCACCTAGGACAGTTGTAAATAAAACACTGATTCATAAATACCATGGACAACATTAACGAGACTTTATTATACCTCGGCGAGGTCCAACCCAGAGTCTCAAGAAATAAATCAGCCATCGTGGCTGCTCTCTTTAAGCATTCAGACGTCGAAAATAAAACTACTTCTTTCTAGAGAAAGATATAGTTATTACTATAAACAGAGAGGGTAACAAGCTGGAAACTCCCCATTTTCCTTGGTTATCACAGGAAATGAATGAATTGTGAGAACAAACAACATTTATTATAATATCGCCAGAATTTGAATCATTTGAAATACTTTTCTCAAATTCACTAAAGACTTCATTAGAAACCAATGAATCATTAAAATATTCAGCATCTGGTATGATAGCACTAAGAATTTGATCAGAAATCGATTCTTTTGAATCATTTGTCTCACGATTATTTTGAATTTCACTTGAGATGACTGGATAACAAGAATGAGGGAAATCTGATAAAAGAGCATTCGGACATTGCCCAGAGTCAACACTAATAAAGGATTCGCTGACCTCTTCCTCAATCACAAAACTGTTCCATATTACGTCACGAGATGCAACAGTTACCTCGTTAAATATGTCCATAATTTTTGAGTGCGATTCCAGATTTGATTGTTTGAGAATGTGTTCCTTAAGTGCACTTTTGATCATTAAACGAGATTCAATGAACACATCCTCATTAAACTGAATCATTAATTTTACTTCTGTGGCTGAAATTGTCATGTTCTTACACCAGTATCTGCGTCGTTTGTTGCAACAGTGACTTGATAAATAGAAGCAGAAGTATGTTTATAACTGAGGAAACAGGATTTAGGGTACGCTAAACTAACAAGTGAGGTATAGTCAGAACCAGACAGTTATTTTGGAAACTGAAACTTGCAAATGAACTCTGTCGGCGATTGTTGTGGTTTCTGTTTTTCTAAAATTTCCGTCGTCAAATTGTTATTGTTTTCTTTTTTTCCGAAACCCCCGTCACCAGTGAAATGTCCTGTCGTTTTGAACGCTGCTTGTTATATTTGGTCGTCGCTGATTGTTATGTCGAAAACGTTTATCACTTATAATCACTTATACCCCAAAACACAACGAAGACCACTCTAGTCGAAAAAACATTCATTTATATATTGATTGTACACCCATTTTGATTAATAATTAGAATGAAATCATATATATGAAAAATACTTGGAGTTATAACAAATCACATGCTGAGCATAGTTCATGTCAATTGAATACAGACTAAAATATAATACGAGAAAACAAAACAAATACTGGACTGAATAATCAACACATGGAATCAAAACGGAAGTAACGTCGAACAAAACTCATAATGCGTGAATCAACTGAATTTTTACTTTTCCCGTCATATAGCAAAGATAAGTGAAAAACGTACAGGTTTATCTGTTCAAGAGTAACGAATAAAAATTTTTGCTTCTCCTGAATCCGAACATAGATTTTCTTCGAGCATAATGAAATACTAACCACTTGGTGAATGTGATACATGTCAGCGAAACATAACCTCATACAATTTAGTTACCTAGATTTGTCCAGGCGTTTCGTCATAAACCTATCATCAAGACGTCTTGATCAAAACTTAAATCATTGGGTATTATTTGGCGCCTTGTTGACTGCCCACAAAACCACCTCGTGTAAAGACCAAAACAGTCAGAATTTGCTTTGATTTGACTGGTTTGTTCATGATGCACAGTGTAACACATCTAAGTCCCACCCTGGGAGTCAGTTTTTCCTTATCAACCAATCATTTAGTAACTTCGATCGACTGACTTATCAAAGGTACAATTTATAATTTGGTGGGTGTTAAAGGTCCTACAGATATTCATGCTCTTAAAATTACTAGGACAGAAGAAACAAATAGTTCACCAAAATCATGCGCCTAACACTGGTAAACTGGGATGCCGGTCATAAAGAGCATTCGTAGATCGACTGTGTGCCTTCTTAGGAGTTCTAGCATTAAAGCTTTTACCATATGAGGAGGGCGGATTATTGTTCTACGTGAGAGTTGTCTCTTTCCACAGCAGCTAACAAGGCATATGCCGTCTAGGATTTCTTTGTAGAACACAAGGTAGTATGATCGATGATTTATTTAAAGATAGTTAGAGTACTTAAAATCTGTGAATCACAGGAGAATGAAGAGGTTGTGATCATGAACTACAACAACATAGATACTAAAAAGTCCGAAACTTTCCCACTCATTTATTTGAACACATAAATATTGGTACAATGGGGCACCAGATATATGTGCGCCACACAAAACACTGAGAATGGGAAGAGATAAAGAATGCAAGGTGCGCGTAAGAAAAAAAGAGAGAACAATAACGACCACAGATTAGTGTATGGTAGTGTAATAATAATAGTGGGGGAAACGGAAAGGTACAACCAGAAAGAATTCTTTCAGTTAAGAAAGTTACAACCACTTTTTATGAAGAAAGTTAAAGGAGGTTACAACATGATCACCACTGGCTTCTATTCTGAGCCATATATGATAACATCTCTAGCCACTGTGTTGCACCGTCTCTAGGACCACAACCAGGGAGTCATGAGGGACCAACAGAAGCCAGTCCTGTACAGCCTTCATTCATAACACGACACCATGTCATACACTGACCACCTCTCCGCGTTTTCCAACCAGTCCCAGAGTCGGCAAATAACGCACGACGTGGAATTCTCTGAGACGACGTTTATAAGATGTGTCCAAGCCACCAAATTCGGTGTTTCAAGATGGTGACTTGATCTCATCACTCACACCCCCACCAGCACTTATGCAGCTACCCAGATACACGAACTTCTCAACTACGTCTATCTGCTCACCGTCCAGGGTGAGTACAGGATTAGAATCCTGCCAGTCTTGTAGAAGTACTTTGCACTTCGAGGGTGCAAAGCACATACCATACCTACGGACATTGATTGCCAACTGATTAAGTGCGGATTGCATGCCTTGGGCATTATCGCACAGTAAGACAATATCGTCCGCATACTCAAGGTCGAGAAGTCTTTCTCCAGTCAACAGATCCACACCACCATTACTTACATTCATCAGAGCTGTTTCCAGAATGTCATCGATGGCAAAGTTGAAGAGGAATGGTGAGATTAGGCAACCGTGTCTAACCCCACTGCTTGAATGTAACAGTAGAGAAAGGTGGTTGTATGCCCTCACTCTGCCACCATCTCTAAAAAGAGCAGGAGGTAAGTCATTTGATCCTATCTCGTAGATCAAATCCGTAAGCTGTGAAGTTCCGTATCCTCCGAAATAGCAATTCGACCATTTTCTAAATCTTTTAAAGAAATTTCTCTTACTTGGTGTAGTTCTTACAGCACTGAAGGACACTATTCTAGTTATTAATTGTTGATTGCTCTTTCGATTAGTAACATATAAATCAGACTTTCAGGGTCTTTGGTGACCAAAATTATGGCTCAGCATACCTTAATTCCCTCTCTTACAACCAAGAGACTGATGCAAGTCAACCAAAAGTCCTCTATTTCCTGCCAACACAAGCAGAAGTTAGAACTTATCGATTACTTGGTGAAATTCCTTTCTGGACAAGAATATAATCCGGTTATTATTTGAAGTAAAAACATCAAAGACGAGGTTCTGAAATTCGCAACGCCAACTATTCTACATCGATCATTGTTAGAATCAGCTTACTGATATTCCATTCGCAGACATTTTGAGTGGATGGTTTTAAAATAAGTTTCACAGTCCTGGTCTGCGAATTGGTCTTCACATGTTCATCCCATAATGAGTACCGTCACTCTAAGATGGATAGGCGATTTAGATCAAGACAAACGTGAACAAGCTGGGTGTGTCAGTTCTTCAAGCGACCAATATCGCCCCAAAAAAATAGAACTAAAGCCTGGCCAAAAAGAAATCCGCATTGGACGTATTAACACGAAAATCCCCCCTGACTATCCAATCGAAAGCTGCATTAACAGCCGAATGATATCACGAAATCATGCAACTATAGAACGCTCGGCCAAAGGAGGTTCAATTCTCTATGATCATAGTATGAATGGGACCTACGTCAACTACACAAGAGTTATGGGTGGGGTAACGCTAAAACATGGAGATATTGTGTGTTTTGGGCATTTAAATGGGGCAAACCTTAAGCCTGGGGAGCCAGTAGCTCTCTTTTATTCCGACTTAAAGTATCGAGTAAGTCCTTTAATACATTGCATTCGTTTGTTCGTACGAAAGCAGCAGTTTTGTTTGTGTCATTTTTAATTTAGTCGTCTGCTTGTTACGTCATCCGAATATATACGACTACCATAAAGTGCTTTCTGTCCTCGCTGCTTTGGGATAAGCGGTCGCTTTGTTAAATTAAATTCAATATCTAGTTTTTTCATTAACTGAAAAGTGGTGGTCAAGTTTCGGTCCCATCCGGTTATAGAAGCGTTCTCAAAATATACAAGTAGAGAATATGTTCTGCAGAACAGTATTTGGAGTGGGTATTGGTTATGATGGTAAAGGTGAACTATAAAGGCGTAATTGAGTGATTCACTAAATGACCGTGACAATTTTGACCCACTTTATTGATTGCTTAGTCCAAAAACATGAGTAGATGACCTAAGTTACTAGGAATTGAACTTGGAGTTAGGTTATACGGTTATCATCATGACGGTAGTTATGATGCATAATGCCTCGAAGCATTACGTTATGTCTGATAGAAATACCAGTTTCGGATCTAATAAGTGATTGTGATTTCGAGCAGTTACTTTTGGAATCTCAACATTTCCCGTAGGCTAGTGTTGATAATACACTTTTCTGGACCACACCTATCTGCTAGCGACAATTTTTCAATAAAGACCCTCGATTTCATGCGACGATGGAATACCGTATTAATGTGTGCGTGTTCATTGGGCTCACACTTGTTACAAGTCACTGTACTAGATGACCGTTCAAACTTGGAGCATGAGGCTTAAACCGACGTGCATATCATACGAACGGGAATGGATTTAATGTTTGTGCACATCACTCTGGTCATATGGTCCAAAGAGTAAGTAGTTACTATATTGATGGTATTTCTTAAGAGTCTTGGAACTAGTGCACATGTAGCTTCATCTGGTACGCACTGGTGTTTTAAGAAAGTTGGGAAAAAAGATTTAGTCTTGTCATTATCAGTTATCTAAAGTTCCATTTAGTACGAGGACTTTGTGACTCATTGAAAGTTTTTAGATTGTCTGATTATGGTCTGAAATTACGCTCTCCGTGCTGAACGTCCTTTTCCCTTTGACCGACTTATTGTACTTTGCTTCTGTTAGGTTCGTATATTCCGTAACATGTAAGCAACATTACTTCCCCCAAATGCCCTGGTACGGCCGAGAGTGGGGAGAGTCCGCTCTCCCTCTCGAAATGCTCTCACACGGCCACGCGTATATAGCCTCTGCCAGGGAAGTCCTACTCGCTGCCTTCTCGTGGCGGGCGTGTTGTTTACGAAAATGAGAGGACGAAAAGCGAATGTCCGGCGCTTTAACCGGATTCAAAACCAATGGTGCACATGAGCTCCAGTATCCTGCGGGAACAAATGGCGTATGAACCAATTGTTGGTCACCGGCTTCCATGGGACTGCATCTCCTTACGATGCTCCACTGCCTTGTGGATCAGACCTTCAGGTCGAAGGCTCGGGGTGTGGCCCCCTAAGGAAACCACCTGCTTCGGTTTGGGCACCCGGGCAGTATCACAGCCCTCACACATATCGAATGAGATTTGTGTGGCGCATGTGTATTTGGTGCCTCTTTGTACCATTATGTATGTGTTGAAATAAAATATAAAAAAATAGTGTGGCCCATTTAACGGGTACGGATTTCATGTATTGATCTTTAAAGGCAGTATGTGAGAGCCAATGATACTATATGACGGATTAAACAGTCGGTTTAGAGTTTTCGACCTATCATTAAGCTACCGCCTTACAATCCTAATCATGGTGTCCTCTCTCTGTATGTCACCGCTTGTTATGGTTGAGGACAAACTGCATAGTCCCTTCCCAGTAATCAAGTCGTCTTAAATATCGATTTTTATAATGTTTAATTTAAAGTTGGACTGTCGGGTTTTTTCTTTTTCTGGCTAGTTAAGTGTTGTATTAATCTTTCTTTACTTCACACAGTTATTTCTAAATCAACGAAAAGATTCAACTACCTTTTCTTTGTCTTCCTCCAAGCTCTTAGCTATTGAATCCTCCATAATTATTTCACCAATTTATATTTTCTTGAGTCGTATCTTCGATGTCTAATTTCTTCAAACACCAATCGGTATCACTGCATATGCTACTCTGGGATTAGACCTGACAATTTTATCTCTGCTAAAGGGATATGGCAAGTGTTATACATACGTGCCGGGTTCTGCTTTCTGACTGATCGGCCTTTTCTTAATGTATTTTGTCTGCCAACCAACAGTGAGAACTATACTGCATCGCAGATATAATAGTGTGGTATCTGCTTTATTCAATTTTAAGGACAGTTGTACTACTCGCTTTTGTGTCTGAGTTTTCTAGAAAACTGAAGTCGTTAGTAGCGTTAACAAACAGTTATAAGTGCCGTTGCTAATAATCAGTGACTACTCTTTCAGTTGATAACAAAATTTTATGCCACATATACTAGGTACATAGTTCTCTTCATTTCGTAAGTTACTATTTTCTACTAGTGTACTCCCGTATGCCAGTTTTTTAAACTGTATTCTATCTTTACTAGGTGGAGCTAAGTGATTCACCAACTAAGGAAAATGTTGTAACTGGAACAGCCAAAAAACGCAAGTCTTATCCCGCTCAGCCAGGTTCAACAGTGTCCTCTACTCAACGTTCTGATGGGGAAGATGATTCTATTGGGTCTAGTGATGAGTCCACGGATGCCAAGCGACCTAGAAGTAATACAGCTTCAAGTGCACAACGCACAGCTAACCGTCAAAAATTCAAAAAGCCTGCTAGTTCAAATCGTCATAAGGTAGATGAAGAAGATGATGGAGACAGCAATGATGATGCTGATGATAGTTCAAGCAACAAACGATTAAGTTCTGCAGGTTCCAAAACCATCAAAAAACGTTCAAACGGTACGGATAGAGTTAAAAAGTCTCATTCTAATTCTGTTTCACGCAAATCTAGTGGAACAAAACCCGGTCATATACATAATAAAGAAAAACGCCGCTCTGGAAAATCCAGCAAATCTGGAGGTTTCGATGCGGAAGATGATGCTGGTGGGGGTGATATGTTTCATTATGACAGTGAGGAGTGTTCAGCTAGACCATGCAAACAGCCTCAAGATATAGCAATAGATTGGATTCAATGTGATCGTTGTACTCTATGGTATCATCAAGTGTGTGTGGGATTAAAGCCCAGTGAAGCAAATGTAGAAACTTATTATTGCCCTTATTGTAAAAAATAACTATCCTAATCGGGGTCGGATAGGTTACCTACTCTGATCACCTTTGTCCGTGTACATAGTAAATAAAATGAATTTTACTCCCAGATGTCAAGACTGAGAACGATCCTGGCAATTTAACCAGTTTGTTGATATTTTCATGTTCGCATTTGGATCGATCTCATTCATTTATCTTTCCATCAGATATTGTGACATTCTTTTGACTCGTTATTTCTTTCTTGTGGTTTAGCCCTAATGTAACTTTTCAAACAGCTATTCCGATTCGTGATTTATGTGAATAAAATTACTTGAGCATCTGTTTGTCTGTTACTCTTTTGTATACTGACATAAAGATATATGTACATACATTAACTAAAAAACATTGTCTCTAGTCTTTTATATTCTAATTTTTATTCGACACAGGTTTATTATTTTGTCATCTTTATCTGAGTAGTTGCATCACTACTGTTGAACATAAAACATTTCTTACGTTAGGATATCAACGTTACCAACAATTGTTTTCCTCATCTTCAGTCTTTTATAGTTAAGTTTATTGACTTTCATACTTTTACACTGCCTGTTCACTGTTCGTAATAAATAATATGGTATTCAATCAGTCTGTTTTGCACTTTATCTGAGTATATGTGTAAATTTTGTCTGTCTATTCGTGATCGTTCATCTTGATCTTAATGCTGCTTGTTGCGCATGTATTTACTCGCTGAGAATCCTACTATATGTGCAAAACAATAAAATTTCCAGGTCAGCGTGTTAATTTTCACTTTTATTCAGTACCGCTTGGTTTCCCCAGTATAGTCACTGCACCTCTTTTCTTTATCACATACATTCCTATCCCTCTTATTATATGCTATTCTTTCTCCTCATGATCCGCTGTCCTCCTTTAGGTGGTTTGGTTCAGTACGAATAAATCTCTAAATCGAACGTCAGATTTATATTCAAAAATGAAAATCTTTGTGTCGAAATAATGTTTAGTGTCTGTGTGAATATTACATAGTTATGAAGTCGGTATTGATTCAAGCTAAGAGATGGGACTATGTACAAGTTATGGAAGTGTTCTTGAGCATCTTAGTTAATAACTCCTTGAAGATAAACAATAGCTATAGTAAGTTACACTGTAGGGATCTTAGCATAACTTATTTACACTTCACGTTACGAATCTGTTTTGAAATCGAGGAATCACTGGTTGCGAACTGTGATTGTATCTAGGGTCCAGTGTTCTACTGAAGGATGAAGTATCAGAGGATTCGTCTATTCATTGTGAAAATTAGTACAACGGTTATTTCTTGTTCTAATCTAAGGCGTCGTGACTTCGGAAGATTTGAGCATCCCAACTAAGGATAATGAGTCATTTTAGGTATACATAACTAGAAGTCATATTTTTAGGTGTTGTAGTGGCACGTTATTAAATAAGTGACCTGATAGCAGTCTATGAAGTCACTGAGTAACATTTTGAACTACGTAGGTTACTGCATGGATTTTGGGAAATAAGATAGTGATAATTCTACATTATTTTGCTAAGTATATTTGGTTCAGAAAGTTCGCTTGACTTTTGCCAGTCTGAGCCACCTGTAGCGTGGTCGAGATGTCCGTCTGCCAACCAAAGAATGACCACACCGCTAATTAGTTCGCTTTATTGCTGTTAAACACTAAAAAAGTAAAGAACATTCATGGGTTGCCGGTATCTCATCATGTGTTCAAAGTATTGCTCACGTATTTTGGGATCACTGAGTGAATAACGCTGAGTTTAGATGTAGGGCACCAGGTAAGGTTGATAAGACTGAATGTTTATCGATTTATGTGGCGTGTATTATGTATGGAAAAACACCATATACCTCGACGGACAACGTTGTTTATTGTGGTTGTAAGTTGAAGTAAGGGTAGGGGGCTCCAGACCAAAAAGTGACACAAAGTTCATGGCGTGAGACGTATCGGTAGATGCAGACTACCTGGTTGGGGTCTGCGATTTCTGTAACCTCTGGTTAAATACTTGCATAACATGGCTCAGAGTCGATTATAACTGTCAGATCATTTATTCTTGTGCAAAAACTAGATTTCCTCACTTCCTACCACGTAATTGGCCATAAATTTTATTAAAATGAGCAACATTTCGACAAACCCTAAAAACTCAAGTGGATTAGACGATAAGCATCTAACTTGCCCATAATCATATCCTTAGCACCGACTACTCTGGAAATAGAGTCCCTATGATCTAGTAGGAAGTCACAACCAGTGGAGTTTAATCATAGCTATAATGAGGCACAATCATCATCGATCGAGTAAGGCAGTCGTTGCGCTTTGTCAAAAGTTAACTGAATTCGAGAATGTAAACCATTAGGTCGTTGCTCCGTGATCTAAAAGTATCATCCTCACCTCGATACATACAGGGTTTCGACTTCAGTTTTGTGTGGAGTAATGTACGTGAGTTCTTAGTTCAAAAATTACTGAGATACGATAGCTCCTTTCGAATTGACCTAATCCTCACAAACCACAGAATTGAACAATTATCCATATAAACTTGCAATCTGATGTAACTGGTCTAACATTTGCTACAAAATAGATAGCAAGTAAGCGAACTGTTAACTTGATACTTATAGATTATGCACTAAACAAACAATTTGATCGTACAAACCAAGTAATATGAAGTAATCTGGTTCAGTTCCGTGGATTTTTATGTGAATGTTATCGTCTAAAGTTCCATCTTATCTATTTCTTCTCTGTAGTTACGAGGCATTCCATCAACTCAGTATGGCGTTATGTCTCATGCTAGATGTCATATTCACTTAGTTTTATAAAATAAAGTCTCAGAAATATATCACTTGTTTTGTTAACTACCTTTGGTTGCTTCTGAAAAAGTTGGCAGCTCAAAGGCGAGTGGAATTAATTTTCACTTTTTTCAGTTCTGAACATGTTTATCCTTGTTCTCTGATATCTTCTTGCTGACTCTGGTTTTGGTTAGAAAGAACCAGAAATGTAACTCAGTAATTTAGTTAAATTTATTGGTTAAAGCAATTAATCTATTAACATAAATTATGTACACTCACTAAATTATTGATTAATTAGTGCCCTTTACTTCTAGTTCGGTCTATTCAAATTTGGCTTGTTGACCAGTTAAGTAAATCGTAAATAATATTGTAATGTTAATATAATTTCTGAATCAGTAGTCGGAGCTGTAGTGGATCTATTGTTAGTGCTTAAACCAATTCTTATCTATTATCTTAAGTTTCTTTCTTGCATCAAGCCAAATCAGTCCTTGTTCAGTTATACAAAAGTCAGTCAGTCTCATCGTAGAACCAAGTTGTCATACCACATTAGCACAACAAGATGAAATTGTTAGGGGAAATCCCAGAGTAGTAGAGACAGCAACAGTATCAGTGTTAGTAGAAAAGGTTAGGGTTCGAAGATATAACTTGAGAAAATTATTGAAATAAAAACAAATTATGAAGAATTCAGAAGCTTATAATCTGGGAGAAGACAAAGAATGGATGCACCTGCGCCACGGCAAGTAACCAGTTGTGTCTGCAGTCATTATATATAACAAAGTGGTTTAATAAAGTTCTCCCCTACAAACTGACACTGAGTATTCTCTTATTCAGCACCAAAGATAGCAAAATACCTGAAAAAATGTTACATTTATGTCTAAATATAGTGGTGGTGAACAAAATATCTGATTACATTGCCTAAATTTATTTTTCCCGTTAATAATATAAAATAAATATTTCATCTGAAGAAGATTCTTATAACGTTTTTGGTTAAAAGAAGAAAACTATATAGCTACTTTTTATGTTAATTGAAATATGATTATCATTATACAATACAAAATCAGATATTAAATTGGTAATGATGTTTACTTGTATTTTCACATAGCTTTCTGTTTCATAGATTAACGAAGTTTTCTAATGAATATTGTTTAATGCTTGTTTTAGGATCTTATAGAGTCCTATTTAGAGTTGAAATTACACTCACTTCGTTCATCCGATTCGAAGGCAATAAATCCCCATACTGTAACAAAAGTGCAACCACTTCATGATCATGTGAATTTATGTAGGTTTATTAATCTTTTTTTCGGTTAAATTTTTCCTGGGAATAATTTTAATGAGATGATGTAGAAAAATATTCCTCGGTTTATTATAAATCAATATTGACTAAACCATCTCAATAAAATTAAAGTTGAAGACTGACATCAACCGACGAACCATTGAACATTGAGGGGAACTGGTTAGACATCTTTGTTTCAGTTTAGGAACTCGGAATAGAATTGAAATCAACAGTCGACCCAAGTCGTGCAACCGTTGGAAATCAGGAACGATAGAACAGATGTTTCGTTCTGTTTATGGAACTAGTCTTCAGTGCTTATCCACGACCCTACCGTAAATTGAGGCCGGAACTTGTTATAGCCAGTATAGTTCTACTAGGTCATCACGATAGATAAGTCTTAATTAGAATTTTAGAGTCGCATGCCATTGACATATTTTGTGTCTCATTAACCTGTATACAGAAGAACGCACAAGCAACTGTCTATTAGAGTTCAACCTAGGAGATTCTGTTCTTTTGAACTTAATTCAGTACCTATTCCTATGAGGCCACAAGAATTAGCGGTCAAATATCCAGATACACCGGTTCCGCACATTAACTAGGTGAGGTTAAGCGAATGACCATATTTAGGTCGTGTATGAAAAATATAAACTAATCAAGGCAATTAATGAATAATTGATAACAATGAAATGAACGAAACAATTAGTTGACTTCACACGTTGATTCACATCAGCTAGTTGATGAATCGTCATGTAGATGTTTCGTCTCAGTTTGTGATTCACAATTATGCATCCAGTGAAAATTGGAATAATTTATTCTTTTTTCAGTTCATGTTAGAAAATTCCAGGAAATCCCAATTTAGATTGAATTAGCTAATTAGTGTTCATTTGTTTTTTCGTGATTTTGAAGTTAACTTCACTTACCGTAGTGAAAAATAACTTGATTGTACTTCAACGTTCCATATTACTCAACATTACCGTTCAATGCAATCTTTTCAATTGTTAGCTTATCATTAGTTGACTGTTTTTGCTATTATTAGCTGTACCCGTATTATCTACAAGTGTAATACTGGCTGTTTTATTTTAATTAAATATCACAACTAATTTACTTATTATTGTGAATTTCTTCTAGCCAATAATATATCTAAATCAAATGTTGTTTCCACACCTTTACCTTCTTCAATTTTCTATGAACCTTGGCATTCTATGTGGAAATTTATTAGAATGAATCCAAGTGAGTGAATTGTTGATTAAGTGAATTTTTAAAAAGAAAAATTACTAAATTCACACTAGTTTACAGAATTAATCTGGTTGATTAAGATTATCTTACATATTTAGTCGATATAACTATGATATTTTATCATCTGACATAAAACGAAGTGATCTCAACTGTTAAAGTATTTGAATTTCAACCAAATAGGTTGTAGTTTTGAACATTGCTTCATGTATTTCAATTTGACCAACTTGTTAATATCTCTATTTTTACCAAATATACAAATGTGTGCTTACAAGCTAAGTAGTTAGAAACTTTTGCTTGATGATTGGGCAACATAAGAAAAGTAATTGAACAATAAACCACTGCCAACATTGTTTCAATGTAATATTAACATTTTTATGTTTGTCTTAGATTCAAAAACCAAATAGTCTATGGGATTATTCTGTAACACAAACAGACAGACAAGTCACTTCCAAGTTTATTTATGTAAATACTGCACTCAAAATTGTAGGACGCGTATCAAGTTGAAATAATGCGCAATCAAAAGCAGTGATATACTTCCATAGGTTTATTTTTCTAATTGTATTTGTTAGCAAAATATAGATTGAATTAGAGCATATTCCACCTAGGATTATGTTGGAACACGATGATTGACCTGTTTTTAGTGAATCAGTGCTAGCAGATTAAGTGATGAAGACTCCAGGATCTTCTTGTCTGCAAATTATAAATATACTAACATCCTTTTACTGGAATTACCCCATGATGTGTAAGCCACGAGACTAATGTGGCGGGTGGTATTCGCTACGTTTTCGATGTTCGCTACTTTTCCCATACATATCACTTTGGGTTATTTTTCCGTTTATTTAATGAATGATAGTGTATATTTCGCTAAAGTTGTCATTTTAAGTGTCTGGGTTATCTAGAATCGTCTGCTATGTACGTGTGTATGTTGACTAACTACTTTAGTTTACATAAGAATGATGGCGTAACTAGTATATTCCAACTTGATAGATAAACATCTTTTAAGTTATGAAATTACAGCCGGATATCGTCTTATAAAAAGAAATCAGACACCAATTTCAGAGAAAGATATGTACAACATTTAAACGAACAAGCCTTTTCTCATAAAAAGGTGGCACTTTTATGCTGATGTAGATTTCAGTTACTTATTTTTTATATTACACCTTTTTTTATTATTGTATTTTAGTCTATGGAATAGGCGGCAAAACTTTACCACTGGAATCTATATTATTTATGGATCCTAAGTATATTCCACCTATTCATTCAGTCTCAAAGATTGATAATACAAATCTGCTCTCTTCTACTGATTTGGATTTCTGCTACGAAGCTCTATTGTTTATGACACAGGCTTATGAGACTGTTGTACGAGTAACTTTATTTAAAGACTCAAAAACGGAGTAAGTTGATACTTTTATGCTTTTTATTATCTTGAACAGTTCTAAGTGATATATTTTCTAAGAACCATACAAAGTTGAAGTATTTATATGTGTTGTTATAATTTTCAGAATGGGAATCTTTAATATTTATGTTTTGTTACTCTTTAGAAATAACACCAAATCGATTGGTAATATATTTAGCTTTTCTCTCGTCAACATTTAGACATGTGTAATTTATTTGTATTGTTTGCTTGGATCTTCCTATTGATGTTTGAGACTGCCGTTGATCAGTCTCTTTTGGGTTATGTACATCCTGTGTGGATTGCCTCGATGTTTCCATTAAGCCATAACCATTTTAAACAGAGATCGATGGTTACTAGCAGTGGGGGCTAGGATGCATGTTCCATTTTGCGACTCAGTTGGATATACCTGAATCCTATAGTTATTATTCATTCCGGGACTCAAACCCAGTAGCTTTCGCTTCAAACGCCAACTCGTTGTCCACCCAGCTACTGAGTCGCTTGCTTGTCCAATAAGGCGAAGTTTAACTCGTTTTTATTGGTTGTTCGGATCTTTCCATTTATGTTAAAGACCAAAATAGATCAAACTCTTTAGTGTTCATATATTTGTTATTGTTTATTTGTATGATTATATCATGCAATTGAGAGGCATATAGCTATCAAGTTAAGCATTTTAATCCTTGCACTTTTATGTCTACACCACTAATGATAAGCCACTAATTCTATCACCACTTATCACTCTAATTAAAGCCTACATAAGCCCTCGCGTCCCGAAGTCTCAAACAAAACGCCACAAAATCAGCTAAGTGAATCGAAGTATTTAAACACATTCAAGCACACAACCCTTGTGATGATCATATGTACCATACAATACTAACGCCTCCTGTAGCCCTTCTGGAGTTACTACCGGTCCCAAGCCCGGGAAAAAGAAAGAGGGTTGGGCATGGGTCAGAAACCCCATCCCGTAGAAAACAAACTTCGTAAAAAACACTAACCCGAATAAGCAAATTAAACCACTTAGACTCTACCCTCCGAGCTGAAGGATCTTCATTCGGAAGAATTATGACACCTCATGGTGAAAGCCGAGACTCTTCGGAAGTCACGAGGCTGACGTCTCTTCTAAAAACCACAGCAACAATTAATATACATACGTGGAATGTTCGGAAAATGTGGGAGACAGGGAGGACCAATCAAATGGCTGCAGAAATGAGGAGATATAACTTGGTGGTGCTTGAAATAAGTGAGATCCATCGGACCTAAGCTGTACATAAAAGATTAGCTTCGGGAAAGATGCCATTTTAATATGGTCATGAAGAAGAAAGTGCCTCACATACGCAGAGCTGAAATTATGCTGTTCAGAAGAACACTTATAGGATGATCATCTCATGGATTCAGAATCATCACAGCATTCTTCTAAACAAAGAAGGTGGTGATTACAATAAATTTTATACGTCTACTATTGATAACAACAAATATGATAAAAACCAGTTTATGAGAGGCCACAATCGATCGTAGAGGAGTGTCCAGGAAAGGATCTGACCATTGTGATGAAGGACTTGAGCACAGAAAGTTAAGGCACAAAATAGATTGACAGAAGCATGCAAGAGAGTGAAGAGCAGCATTGAACCTGATAAGCAGAAATACGTGGGAGACCTAGCATTGACAGCGGAAATAGCTGTAAGAGAAGAAAATATGAAACCTCTCCATAAGTGTTACCCCACCAACGATCCAAGAAATCAGCATGGCCATCAGAAAAACCAAGAGTGGGAAAACAGCAGAACCAGACAAAATACCATCTGAAGTCAGACATAGAGGTGACTGTAAAGATACTCCACGTTCTACTCAGAAGGATTTGGGAGTAGGAACAAGTATCAACAGACTGTAAAGAGGGATATCTCGTCAAGATACCAAAGAAAGGAGATCTCAGTAATTATGAGGACTGCAGAGACATTACATTACTATCAATACCAGGTAAATTTTTTGACAGTGTTGCTGATCCAAATGAAAGATTTGGCAGACACCCAACTTCGAGACCAACAAACTGGCTTTCGTACGTGGTCTATCCATGCGTCGATAAAATTGCGACACTCCGGATCATTGTTGAGTGGTCAGTTGAATGGAACTTATCACTGTACATAAGATGACACTTGGTTGTGTGGATGAGAGAAGCTTATAGAGCATTCTTTTACACTATGGAGTATCCGAGATGATTGGCATGGTCATACGGAATTCGTACAACGGAACACACTGCGAAGTGGTGCATGTAGGGCAGCTGACAGTTGCATTCCAAGTGAGGCCTGACGTCAGACGAGGCTGCTCACTCTCCTCCTTTCTCTTCATTCCGGTGTTCGGCGTCCACATTTGAGGAGAAGCACTGAATACAATTGAGAACTCCGATGCAGCTAGACGATTTGTGCTTTACAGATGACCTAACTCTTCTATCCCATACACATCAAAAAATGCAAGTGAAGACAACCACTGTAGCACTAGCCTCTGTATCAGAAAGACTCATTATACTCAAGTTGAAAAGCAAGATATTAAAGTACAACACAGAACACCAACGCAATCTGACTTTCTGGAGAAGCTCTGGAAGGTGCGTAAAGTTCTACGTACTTGGGCAGTATCATCGATAAATAAGGAGGCTTTGGTGCAGACGTTAGAACACGGATCGCCAAACCAAGGACTGCATTTTCATGGTTGAATAACATACGGTTCTCAAAACAACTGCCAGCCAACATCAACGACAGGATCTCTAATACAAACATCAAGACGAATCTGTCGTAAGTAGATGGGATGTGGTGAATTACTACAACCATCATCATAAAGTTAAAGGTATTTTAAACAGTTGTTTATGCAAAATACACCAGATCCGTTGGATGGATCCTACTGCTGCAGCCAACAAACCAGCTGTAAATTGCAGAGGAGTTTAGGTAAGGACACTGAAGGTAGATAGGATATATCCTTTGGAAATCATCAAACTGCATCTCGAGGCAAATTATAACTTATAATCCTGAAGGCGAAAGCAAAGGAGGTAGAACAAAGAACATATTGTATCGGCAATCGAATGAATAGCAAGAGTGAGCAACAGGAAAGGATTGCCAAGACAGAGTTAACCAGAGATTCCGGGCGGGTGGCCTATACTCCACAAGGGTTAACTGGTCCAAGTAAATTGAATATAATGTCAACAATGTGTTTTAAGCTTCGTATCCTAGCTACTCAATAAATTCCTTTCCACTATTTGCAAAGCATGTACGAATATTTTTTCTATCTCTTTGGATAAGTCGGTAGATTATCATTCTAATCAAAATTTGAATGTAGCATTCTTCCGATCAAATGTTGTAATCCAGCAAAAAATAGATGAATGGTTTTTATCTAGGTGTTCCTTTAAGAGAATTATATAGTTTGAACATAGTTCTAGGTATCCACCAGAGAACAAAGTACAATTGCTACTGTTGATAATTTATCCACTCCTTATATGGTTAGTCTCCGTTTATGGTTTGACGGATGGTTTAAAATATTCTTCTCACTCTCAGGTACATTATGATAATAATACAACTCACGTTATATCAGATCCAGGATTCACGACCTAGATTAGTTGACCATATCAACACTAGATAGTAATTAATCCAACACCATTATAAAAACAGTCACATAGTGAGTCCGGAGTAGATATCAATAACAGGAAAGTAAACCAGATATTTAGTAGTCAATAGCCTAATTGCTTGTTTGTTCATGCTCAACGAACAATCATATTTTAATTTCACCACCACATATAAATTAGTAGTCACAACTTTTCTTCTCATATTCAGCCACTAGCAAACACGCAACTGTGATTTATTTTAATGATCTGTAAGAATTTGTTCAGTTCGAAGACCGGTTTACTTACAGACTTTCATTAGATGATTAACATTGGAAACTATGGTATGAACATTTTTTGCCTAGTCCCAGTCTCACAGTTCCGTGAGTACTTAAGACCTTATTGTGACTGTAAGTTCAGCTAGTTATCACGTAATTTATCCACCAATCGAAATACGACTTATTCACTCTTGTACTGTACTAAACCAATGACGTTCAACCGGTCTGATCATCCTAGAGTCTTTATTGGTCCTATTCCGTCCAGTTGAGTCCGGAACACCAATAACAGCTTCTGCTGTACGAATCATTTATTTCAGACACACTTAGTTTATATGCCAGCAAGACAGACCTCATCGTAATATAAAATAGGAAATAACATTTGTGCAAAATAAAGCCAAAAAAGGCTGTGAACGTGGGAGACTGTAATCAATAAACTGAACATAACTTAAGAACAGTAAATCGTGCAATAAAAATCTATAGGTCAAAATGAAGCTTATAATAAGAGGAATATAGATATACATAATCCAATTACTAAATAGTTATACCATAAGAATATGTAGATAATATTAAGCCATTAATAAGTCTCAGAAGTTACTCGTAATTTAATCTTCGCTAGGATATAACAGATCCCATACGTGGAATCAAACAATCGACTTTCAAGTCTCATAACCACTTTGATACACTCAGAAATAATTTTCACTCATTTTGTTCAAAATAAACTATCATATGATCAGTAACAATGTTTATGAATACGTAGAGTTGTTTAAGGTGGATACCAAAAATGTTTAGAAGGAAGAAATTACTTTGACCAATTTATTGCAATTCTTGTTTTTGTTTTTCCCTCTGACTTTTGTTTTAGATAGTCGATAGTTTTTTAAGAGATTTATTGTTTGGTATATTCACAAAAACAAGAGATTAGTTTTTCCAGTGAACTGTGTTCTTTAAACTGCAGAAAAAACTTGCAAACATAGTACTTACAATAACAATCAGTACAGGACATGAATTTATATAAATATTTTTTGAACAGAACCAATCACTATAGATTTGGTTTTACCAGTAAAAGTTATCAATCTGTATTTGTGTATATTTGCGCATTTTTGTTAGTTCAATTATAACCGTTATCAGTATATGGTTATGGAAATTGTTGATTTTCATTGAAACCATGAACCGATCAATGTTAGATCACAATTGAAAACCTGGGAGTATGCTTCTGATTTCACGTCAATATTAATCACCTCTTTATTTCTAAAATCATTTGAAATAAAAGACTCCTGCCCTCCATGTCTTTATTTCTTACTTTAGGAAAGTTTATTTAGGTAACTTATTATATAATGTTTAGAGGTATATGTATATCGACTAGATTGAGGGCGTACCGTTTTTTCAGCCATTTTTAACTCATCAACAATTCGGTATGCGATGAAATTGTTAAAATGGCTTTCATATATCTGATTTTGAGATGGTGGAGAAGATTTGATATTTCTGATTAAAAAATAACTGTGGAGCGGTATGCTACGTTAATACAACCTTTAAATGTGTACTGGTCAATTTATCCAAAAATTAAATTTAGATATTTTATATTTAAGTTATTAATCCAAGCGATTTCTTCTACTCTTATTATTACTATTGTTGTTATTATTAGAAATGGCGAGTTTATGTGTTGTTGTGATCCGTACTTGAATTTACCGTGTCGTTTTGGTATCACTGAATTGGCATCATTGGAGGACTTTGTAAAACAACATATTTGGTCATCCATATACAAACAATTTACAATTGATGAATGAATTTCTTTGTAATATATATCTGGAGTGAGATTGCATATTTTCCTTCAAATGATTTTTTTGTACAGATTACCTATGCTTTATTCTGTTTTGGTTGAGATAATTGACTTATGTGTTAATATCCTCTTAATGAGTAAACGAGTACTTCACACCTGAATTGTGGACTTTACTGCTATCCAATGAACGGTCATACATATAACAGCTAGAAAATAAAAAAGGTCGTAATTCGGGTTTTTTAATGTTCGTACTATCGGATACAAACAAAAAGTCTAAGGGTTATTTTCGCAACGTATATTAGTCGACTATTTCGGTTTTAAGTGTCCAACTTGGAAATAGGACGAGTTAGATCCTAAGTTCGAAGCACATGGATTCCATATCTGCTTACAAACTGATAGGGGATCATGTTTGCTAAATATCGCTTGGTAATGCTTCTCCGATGAGGCAACCTTTTCTGCTAAATGTACTGATCGTTAATTTTATGTTAGCTAAGGAGATCCAACTGAGGGAGATTACGGAATACATGCCTCACATCATTCGGTATCAGTGCCTGAGCCACGATTCGTTGCCAAGCGTTGGTAATCAGACACTACGAATAACTTACTCGTATCATAATCCTTACTATAAGCAGTGCACATTAAGGATGAAATCGAACTGCATGTTTACAAGGAAATGAAGCAGCCGAGAGATCTACACTCTATCGACATTAAACAAGTAGTCGGACATACCTTTGATGACTTGGAATAAGTCCATGGCTCTCACTTTAAATGACAACTGGTCACGTTCTAAACTTAAGAGCTAAGACTTATCGTAATGTCCTTGACAACCTATTCTGGCGAGTTGGAAATTAGAGGTGATACGGTAGGTAAGTCGTAACTACCTTTCAAGGTTGAGCTATTCTGGAGCATGTCAAAAACACTTGGTCTACATAGACCGTTTTGTAGTTGGCTGGATAGCAACTTTTGAACCTCAAAGTCGGTTCTGCTATACTGCTACACTAGACAGACAATTTCTTTAAACATTATCTCCCTATGTTATGGTAGAGAATGTGGATCTAATCGTTCAGGCTACAAGGACATGACTGTGTATCGACTACATAATACAATCAACTGATCTAACTGTTCGGTCAACAACCAGAGTGAACCAGTACTTAGTGGTTCATAAGTGAAGCGAATCGACAGTTCAGGTTACCATTTGATATGTAGTGTGAATTGGTGTGCGTTTTTTCATTTCTTGACAAATTATAAATCACCTTGGTCTGACATTTCGGTTTTTGTCGCCAGAAAAATGGATTGTGGGTTCCATCCGTGCAAATGAAGTTCATTCAAACACTACAGGGAGGAAAAATCTTAGAATTTAGACGTTTATTGCTGTTATTTCAAACAAAGTGTTGTTATTTTGCAAAGGCACTATAAGTCACATCGTATACTCACGCCTCTCATGGTGATTTTAGATGGATTTTTCTTACAAACTGTTTGCCGGACGTTGTATAGCTCGTTGAGAAATAGTTGTCTGTAAATCTAATTTTTTCGTGATCTTTGCTGTGCTATCAGTGTAATAATAACATGACTCTGGTACTTCAGCAGCGAGGGTGGAACCGCCAGAATTGATTGGAGGATTCTTTGTGTCGAGTAGTGCTTACACTTACGGCGTAAGACTGTGTGTAACCCTAAATTTTACTTGCAATATTAGTCAAGTTCTCCGAGCCTAGTGGCTGAATAAATGTGCAGGGAATTCACCTTGCTGATATTTGCAGGTGTCACATAAAAATTTCTAGGAAAGCATTGTCGACGTTATAAGGTTCAAATAATTGTTTCATCTGCCATATCGATTGAAGCGGAGACTGTCCCCTAACTCGCGTTCATTCATGCTGAGGTAGGTTTGACAAACTAATTCAGCCTATCATAGGCTTCAGGTACTTGAAAATTGTCTATAACATCAGGTATCTCTGATAAGACTTCTGTTATGAGGATTCTCGGCATAAAAGAATTTTTTGAAGCCTTTCAAAATGACGTTGGCCCTCAATTTGTGTTAATCGAACACGCGGGTTAAGTTTGCTAAATTGTGTTACATCCATCGAGTTTCAGGCATTTAATCGAGATTCCAATAAATTCACTGAGTTATGCAAAGGAATCACTTACGGTAGCAGGCTTCAAAATACCGAGGAATGAACTTAAAATTATAATATTCGGTGTAAGGACAGGGCTCACAAGATTTGTTGTTGATTCGTACGAGAACCTAATCAAGACTTAAGAAGTAAAGGATACCATCCAAAGTCATGTATTAATAAGCAAGGCTGTAATAAAGTGTGCAAGTTGAGGAGAAGGTAAAATTACATTCAGAACGAAGTTAACAGCAGTCATGTGATGATTGATGCTTAGGGGTTCCTCTTGAGCAACCACCATAGATATATATCACTCGGTTACTATATGTCCACTGGAGCGTTTAGAATCGATGGCATTGAGAGTGGTATTAGTATAGCAATATCCTTTCGCGTAACCTTGACCAGTTATTTCGTGTAGTGTTGGAGTCCCAGAAAGGGCATTACTAAACTACTGTGATCTCTAGTCGCAGGCCATTATTCATAAGGCAAGGAACGAACGACGTTAGTAACATTTATTTCAGCATCAAATGTAACGTGAGTATCAATCAATTAATAGTAAAGTTTATTTGAAACCGATACATACAAAAACAAGATGCCGGACATAAGTGTGATTGCGCACAGAAGATTATGTCGCATTATAGATAGGGGAAGTACTTTATACAGCAGGACATAGAAATATATATATATTGATGTGTGAACATTTAGTGATATCGAGATGGGTTACCTCACCCCTTAACCAATGACTAATTTTTGAGACTAAATATCTCACTTCCTCTCAAAACCCAAGTTTTTCTCCTGAATCTTTGAAACAGCTACTTGTGTTTTTGTTATGTGTGGTTTTATTTTAAACATTTTGTGTGAGGTGGTATTAGTGTACTGATGAGAAATGTTTTGTACATGTTTCCCATGGTTCGTGATACCCAGAAATGCACCAGTGTTTTTCCACTCTAAAGATGGCATATGTGCCTACCAATTCGTGTTTATATTTTCACTTCATACAATTATCAGTCTATCTTTATTTGTCTATGTATTCAGGTAGTCCTCTTAGGATAAAAATCACTTTCACATGTTATGAACTCACATGGCATACATGATTATTTTCTATATGTTCAATCTTCTTACTCAGTTTCTTATTGTTTTTGGGACGCCCAAATATATTTTGTCTAAGGATCTATCGTAAGATTCTCTTGGGCTATGAGTTTCTCTGTGTGAAAGAAGTGATCACTATAAAAGTGCTTCGAATCATTCTCTTATCTTTGAAGAAGATAATGTGTTAAACAGTTTATCTTGATTGGTGTCACCTGTATCATCATTGTGTGACCCTCTTTGTGGTTGTATTGTGTGCGTCCTGCAGTGCACAATGGAAATCAAGAGTCGGCGACAATACCCAACAGAAGAATAAAGACACCTAATAACATTATTTTTGTTAAATAGTTGTTACTGATATCTTTCCAGCATCTTTGTATCAGTGAATGGACTAAATGCAATTGTTAAGTAAACGGATTACTGTACCATAGTCCGTTCACTAATTCTATTTTGGCGGTTAGTGATAAGTAAAAACAGTGTATTTCATTCTTTATAAAGATGTTGATGTTCCAACCACGACCTCACATGTCTAACATTGAATAATCTGTTTGTGTTGCCACTGTGTTTCCAGTCATTATGGGTATGGCTGTAATAACATTCTGAAATAACGGAATTCGATACTTATAAGAACCCTAGAAATTTGCCCTGCATTTATTTATTCGTCACACCGATGTTCTCCTAATATGAGTACTAATGTGCTTAACTGGATAAGAATCATAATTCAAGCTGATCATCTCTTTGTAATTTTCGGGTGCAGAGAGTAAACCTTGATTCTTGTGCACTTGGATGTTAACATATTCGCAACTTACGCTAGTCTCTGCGCGCAGACAAATGCAAGATATTTAGGGCTGTCTGCAGAAATCTTCACTCAGAATGTTTTATACTGACAAAAATTGTTAGTGTGATATGAGGAGTAACCATATTACGCCCTCCGTACTAGTCCTCAATACCAACAGCTACCTTGGAAGTATTCAGATCGTTCTCATAGGCTCTGCATAATGGAAATTTGCTTTTCTTCAGCGAACATTATAATAATATTTTTCAGATTCTGAAAAGACTATATATAGAAGTGAAAGCTATAACTCTGAGCTTTCAGTTCAACAAAGTATTCAGTTCTGATCTAGTCATGACTATTAGAGTTTACACAAGTTACCTATGGAAATTACTAGATTGGACACCTCACTTAGTCTTATTACTACTTGGTAGCACAATAATAGAGTACAGCATAACCCGAATGTTACAAGGGAAAACATGACAACTTTATATGTGAACATCAACATATAATAACCATAAGTGCCTGACTGTAAGTTTCAAGAAATCTCTAGTAGGTTTTGTTGAATATATAAGAAGTGGAAAAATTAAGCTGATGACGATAAGCACTGCTTCTTACAGTGATATTGAAGTTCAATAAGAAAACGAAGTTTCTGTAATTCAGTACATTTGAGAAATTGAGTCTTGCACGCGTACTTATTTTTAAAGGCAAATTACTTGAGCTTCAAATATATTTACAGTTTAAGACTAGAGGACAGACGCTCTAGCAAGTAATCGCGAAACAAAAGATACGTGGAACTAACACTGAGATCACATGTATGCTTTGGACGTAAACCGAAAGAAGTAAATTTGAATGTAAAGGTATTATATCCTTCATTAATTGGAATCCTATATAATCAACTAATTTCTTCTTGATAAATGGTAATTTTAGTCAGTTAAATGTAAAACAGGGATGTTTCAGTCAGAACTCATGAATATTTCATCAGTACTGCAAGTCTAAACACTGCTCATAAATATCTTACTATGTACTGTCCTGTAACACACG